GTGCTTGGACTGAACAGCAGACAGCTTTAGACAGGCTGTGCTGAAGTTGCTGCTGGAGAGGACGGTCTGGGGGAGTTCGAGAGGATGGGATGGTGGACTGGGGGGGAGCGAAGGGAGAGGAAGTGCAATTGGAAAACATGCAAGATTGTTCAGGGTACTTATAAAAAAACGAAAACGATTTGCCTTGGTGCATGCGTTTCCCTGAGCGTTCGAAAGGGCGCAGAACAGGTTTTCCACAGGAACCGGCTGCCGCAACCGTTCCTTCTTAGCCCCTGAGTCGTCATAAAAACTGCTGGCACATTTTAGTTGGTTTCATTGAACTAAGGCTCGTCCATGCTACAACTGTATTTGATTTGCCAGGCCAACGACATTCCTGGGGTAACTCTGCTGCCGTCGATGGGTTTTCCTCAGGACGGGGTTTGGCCAGTAATATTTTAGATGTTACAAAAACACCAGGAAGGAAGGAAGAAATTTCTAACCTGCCTGAGACCAGTGGTCTAGCTAGGTCAGCCTCCTGAATAGGACACAGGCTACATTGGAAGGTAAAGAAAAACTGCAAAAGGTAGTCATGGGAGAAACTGTCTCCAGGGAACATTCCTCTCTGCTGACCCCCCCCCCCCAACCCCATCAGCAAGAAGTTGTCTTAAGCCCTGAAGCAGGAGGGTTAAACAATACCAAAGGCGCTTCTTTATTCTTGTTTTGTTCTCTGTTTGATTTTTAGATCTCTCTGCCCCACTCCCCTAAACAAACAAAGATGAGAACTCATTTCATCTGAGTTTTACCTGCCCCGTGAACAACGGCACCATGGATCTGGCGTACGAGCTGCCCAATGTCACTGAGTTCTGGTTCTCCTCGGCCTCCCAGTTCGACAACTTCTCCACGGAGATGTCGGCCAACGCCTCCCAGAACACTACGGGCCAGCATTTTGACCTGACCAGCAACGCCATCCTTACCTTCATCTACTTTGGGGTGTGCATCATAGGCCTGTGCGGCAACACCCTGGTGATCTACGTCATCCTCCGCTATGCCAAGATGAAGACCATCACCAACATCTACATCCTGAACCTGGCTATCGCAGATGAGCTCTTCATGCTGGGGCTGCCATTCCTGGCCATGCAGGTGGCTCTGGTCCACTGGCCCTTCGGCAGAGCCATCTGCCGGATTGTCATGACGGTGGATGGGATCAACCAGTTCACCAGCATCTTCTGCCTGACCGTCATGAGCATCGACAGGTATCTGGCTGTGGTCCACCCCATCAAATCCGCCAAGTGGAGAAGGCCCAGAACAGCCAAGATGATTAACGTGGCCGTGTGGGGCGTTTCCCTTCTGGTCATTATGCCCATCATGATTTATGCCGGGATCCAAAACACCCATGGAAGGAGTAGCTGCACCATCATCTGGCCAGGCAAGTCCAGCGCGTGGTACACAGGGTTCATCATCTATACCTTCATTCTGGGCTTCCTGGTGCCCCTCACCATTATCTGCCTTTGCTACTTGTTCATCATTATCAAAGTCAAGTCCTCTGGGATCAGAGTGGGCTCCTCCAAGAGAAAAAAGTCAGAGAAGAAAGTCACCAGGATGGTCTCCATTGTAGTGGCAGTCTTCATCTTCTGCTGGCTTCCCTTCTACATATTTAACGTCTCCTCCGTCTCTGTCTTCATCACCCCCACGCCCTTCCTCAAGGGTATGTTCGATTTCGTCGTGGTCCTCACCTATGCCAACAGCTGTGCCAACCCCATCCTCTACGCCTTTTTGTCCGACAACTTCAAGAAGAGCTTTCAGAACGTTCTCTGCCTGGTGAAGGTCAGTGGCATGGATGATGCGGACAGGAGCGACAGCAAGCAGGACAAATCCAGGCTAAATGAGACCACGGAAACTCAAAGGACTCTGCTCAATGGTGACCTTCAGACAAGCATCTGAGAGGACTCCAGGATTGCCCTTCTCAGCTGTCCTCTTTCCTCCTCCTCCTCCCCACTCCTTTATATGGCAGTAGCACATAGCAAGTCAGGTCAAGAGTACTTTGTCTTTGTTTGCTTGTCTTAGGGGATGGTAATGCGGGGACGGGGGCCTGTACCAGGAGTAGCCTGTCAGCAGAAGGCAGGTAGGTTTTGAATATTCAGAAAGATGCTGCTCAAATGCAACTTCATACATGGAGAAAACACACACACACACACACACACACACACACACACACACACACACGTATTTAAATATATAACATGAAGTCATGGGCCAAATTCATTCCTGTTGCAACTGCATTGGCTGCACTGGTGTTACCCCAGGGATGTGTTTGGACATACAGAACATGTTCACACATCTCTAACCACAACCATGTAAATGGGCAAATTCAGTAGAGTTGCACATGTGTAACTGAGGGCAGCACGTGGAGGCATTTCTGCTAGACTTGGTTACACATACCAACATGCTCCATACAGCATAGATCACATATGTCTAGACAGAGCTATTCATGTCTGTTTCTTTGCAAAGCAGGAGACTCAGCTGAATAGGAGAGAGAGAGAGAGATCTTAAGAATCAGAGCACACACACACACAGACACACACACAGAGATCCTCCACTAGGACATGAAAAATATTTCGTTTTATTACCCAACTAGTAACATTTTATATTTTTAAGAATGAATCTCCTGAAGCTCCCCTAGTTTTATGAGACTAGTATTGTATTTATTTACAAGTTGCTTTTCCTGCCACCGGAGAAGCAACAGATCAAAATGAAAGAAATCACATCGGAAGGAAAATATCCC